ATGCCCTCTAAAGAGTGATAGCGGAATTATTAAAAGTCACACAGTCTGAACCGGGCCTGGCACGCGTAAAGTTTCGGCAGTGCTGCCATCGTTCGACCCTGAAGCTGCCGACGCCGACGCAGAGGTATGGTGCAAAACGTCAAATGATTTAATGTGAGCATACGCAAGAAGGCGCATCACTGGTGATGACGCTTTGCAAATTACATATCGGCTATCGCCGATTTGATTTTCTGGCAAAGGGAAGCCGGCTGCACTGTTGCTTAACATGCTGAATGTCAATCGGTGTACTCAAGCCGATTGGTGACATCTCTGTTGATCAAGTGGAAAAGGATGAAACATGAAGGAATTGCAATATCATGGGTCTTGGCGCATACATCGCAAATCGATTCCAGGCTGCAACGCTTAATGTTTACAACAAACATAAAGATAAAATGCAATCGCCGATGATGCCATAATTGCGTTAAGCTCGGACAAAAGGCAATGGAGTTTCGCAAGCGAAAAACAGACGATAAAGAGATGAAACAAGGACACAACAACAACATATCAACAAATTCATGCTATAGATGTGGCGGGGTCGGTCATATCGCATCAGTGAGTACGAAAGGAACAGCATCACCGAATATAACTGCAACAGTGTTGGCAAATCTTCTGGTCATAAAAAAGTAACAATTAAAAAATACGATATTTTTTTTAATTTGATTTATTTATGCTCATTTATTTATGATGCTGACGGATGAATGCGTGGCAATATATAAACAGAGACAAATGTAACAAACGTTATTTTGACTAAGACTTAAGCCAAGACATGTGCGTGCAAATCGCAACGTTTTGCATTAATGCTAAATTTGCAATATATGCAAAAGCATTTTTGATCATCGGCTGCTAAAGTCAACAAATCCTTAATAGCATCTAGGTATGTCTCGGCTTTTGCGTATAAATTTGCTCATTTCAACGCAATCGATTAGAAAACTGTAAAATACCCAGATGGTGATGGTAAAAAACTAGTGAAATTGGCAAAAAATGTAAAGATCTTTTGATACTTCGATGTTTTTTTTTACCATTCCAATGAAAAAAAAAATCATTAAAGATTGGCATCGTACAACATAAAAATACAAGAAGTACAAGCAATACAATTTGGTGAACGGTTTTATATTTTTTTTTGATTTGGGTTCCAAATGTTTAGTGAAAAGCTTTCCGGCAAAAGTGTTACAAACTGCTTTTTTGGTATGCAGTGCCGCTAGCTCAGAGATCTCCTTTGGGCCGAGTCATGCCCAATGCCCGCAGTCCGACAACATAAGCGTCGATTGCTGGTCGTCTCACAACACTTAAGTACTGCGATCTCTACCAAAAAGGTAAACAAACAAAAATTCAAATTCAAACATTCAAGACAAGGCGACAGAAATTTGCATATTTGGTGGCCATCGGTGTTCTTGGCCGCTGCGTACCCACCCAACCAAGGATGCTTGGTAAGTACTATCACCGCATCACCCATAATTGGTCAGCGAAGCCACTCCTGGCGACTAATATAATTCCATCTCCCCCACAGGTAAAACTCTGGATTCTCATCGTTATAAATCCTTTAATGTTTAGTACATATATATATTTATATCATCGAAAATCTATTTGTTCATTAGGCCTCAGAATCGCCAATCAACCGCCGTATCAATATTTAGCGGTCGAAGCTAAATTTAAGAATCAAGGACCAGACACTGACCGATAAGAATGTTCTGCCACCCTCGTATCGGCAGAACTCTCTTAGTGAACGCGGCTTAAGTTTAGGTTACCTAATCCTGAGGAGCTCCAAGAGAAAAGAAGGGACACCGAAAGGTATGGGAGATTTACTAGCACAAGTCCTTTATCTTATTTAACCGTGACCTCTTGGTTCCAGCAAACCGTCGGTCAACGGATAATCTCTGGACTAATTCAAATTTAAGTTGGACAATCAGGTATTTACACTTCTTAAAGACTACACATTTCATTAATTTATGTTTTTATTCCAGGCAGTTGTGATTGGGCTCAGCCCACCAGGGAACCGGACTACAAGGTACTTTGTTGCATTCTGACGGTGATCGATAGCCGTGGGCGAAACAAATATCGCCTGGAATGCGCACCGAAACGAGTTGGCAGAGCCGAAGGGGAATTATGCCCGTTGGGCGGAGTTGGCAGGTCCATGAATAGGGGAAAGTGGAACCCAAGAGCCCCATACCTTCCACATCCTATAAAAGGGGAATGTGGATGGTATTTGCCGATCGCGAGAGGAGAGCCCGGAGGGAGTGCATCCACGCACACCAAGGCCAAAAAAACTAAATCTCTGGCCTTGAACGCGGATCTCGACCTCGTTTGAGAGAGGCTCAAAAATGGGAAAGGGGAATCGGTGGGAACCGAGCCCATAAATAGGGCAACGGGGCAGCCACGAGACTCAATCCGCACTAGACCCACGTGACCCGCGGGCGTAAAACCGGAATTCGTTAGTGATTTAAATAGAAAAAAAAAAAAAAAACAGACGATCAGGAGGCAGACCCGGACCAGGAAAACCGAATATTGGACAGATCCAGGAGGCAGGACATCCAGAAATCTACAGGTAAATAAAAGAAAAGAGAGTCCGTTCCAAAAGGAACTAAAACTATTTAATCCATGACGGGTTTCAGGGGTCTCTATTGTCCTTGTCGAGGGTTGTCCGGGGAGGAAATCCCGGCCAAATCTTCCGCCGACGCGGATAACAAAACCGGCAAATCCCAACCTCCAATCCCCACCAGGAATTACATAAATTGCACCGACCTAGATCAAGGAAATAAAGAAAACATAAATCACGTGATATTTTTGCCGTCCTCATTTCTTTAAATTGATTACTATATCGGCAGTTATAATATTTATTTAAACTATTTATTTATTCGCAATAATTTATTTATTTATTTATTTCACATATATATATATATATGTTATTTATTTACTTGTGCCAGTGCTAATTTATTTAAATATTAATCTATTCGTCGGTGCGTAGGTGTTCTTATTTATTTACTTATATATATATATATTTATTTAAACACATTTATTTATTTATTTATATATATTTATTCGCACATATTTATTTATTTATTTGAACATATTTATTTATTTATATGGCATTATAAAAGCCGGTAAACGCACGAAAACAAAACAAAAAGACAATCGAAAATTAAAAGCACATAATTAAAATTATAAAAAAAAGGGCACGTAAATGAAAGAAAAATGAAATAAGAATTAAATAACAAATCAATTAACGTTCCTCATTAACAATCACGAAGCCAAATTAATCACTAACTAATTTAAAATTTAACAAACATGTAAAAATAACGGGTCCAGGCAATTAATCCTTTAAAATATACAAAATATCCTAATTTTAAGTTAATTATAAATATGTATGTGTTTGGTTGAGGTCACCAGGCCGATCTGTGTGGGGGTATAAATTTATATTCCAACAATCACCCGTCTCAGCCCCTGACCCTTAGTGGAGCTCCAGTTAGGGAAAAGCTGAAAGGAAATGTGGGTTAATTAAAAGTTCTTTAATTACAATATTATACCCTTACCGAATTCTCGTGTCCTCGTTGTCCTTGTCCTCTTTCGTCTTCATCGTCGTTGACACTTTTGGATGATATGAATCCACTATAATTTTGCTTTGGCCCGTAAATTTCTAAAAATACAAAAAAAGAAAGAAACCATAAATGATTGTAAAATTAGGTTGATAAATTAGTATGTGTAATAAGTAAATGTTGTTATGAATATGAGTTGCTAAGCGTTTGATGTTGGGGGGGGAAGATGACAGGATGAGCCGTGACCAGGAGTAAGCCAAGATAGCCACACGCCCAGGGGCATCCAACAAGATGATGTCCAGTTGGGTGTCAGGAAGGGAGGGTGCGTCCAAGGATATTTCCAGCCATGTCCCGAACCTGCGTCCAGGAGAGATGAAAGGTGAATGTCAATTATAAATTCGAGTAATGTTTCTGTTAGCGTTTTATTTACCTTTGTTTTTTTTTATTTGTTTGTTTATTTTGGATTCCCAATCAGCTGGGACTTATGGTGCGACCTGTGGGCAGACGGGGAAAAATCCCTCCCTGAGTCGACTGGCTAGCCGGCCTTGCCCCTTCGATAAGCGGGTCGTAACATAATGGCGCCCAATGGTTCAAACTAGGAGTGGGGTGTCGAAGGTCCTCCAAAAGGGACAATCGCACCCATACGCAGTTGGAAGAAAAAAAAAAAATACAAAATTTTTCCAGTTGAAGGTTGGAATCAAGGTGGTCCGGCAGTCCAGGTTGGGAAGCGATGCGATGGCTTATGTCGGCGGTCGAAATGCCGAACATAATTGCTCGCCGCAAGAAAACCTGGGGGGCTGGAAGAAAAGGAACCACAAAGTAATTGTTTTTTTTTGAGAATTTGCGGTAGGATGCCTCACCTAAAAGCGGAGATCCTCAAGGATGTGAAGGGATGACACCAGCGGCGACAAACGTCAGCTGGTAGGCTCCCGGGTGATGCCTGGTGGCAGAGAGAAGGATCCGCAGAAGGTTGAGGATTGTGGACAGGCTCCTGCCGACTACGAGGTGCATGTGTGCGACGAAATGGCCGGTTTCCGGGTGGCCCATGGGAACGCAGGGTTCACCATGCGATGCATCTGGAACGGCCACAGAACTCGCAAACACATGCGCGGCGTAGTTGGAGAGGAAGCAAGCAGTGGTGTGAGCACCCTCGATGCCCTATCTTCCCAGCAGAAGATAGTGGATCCGATGGAGCTCACAAATATGAACATTGATCCTGGCGTTAGGCAGATGACGCAGAAAAAGCGGGTGGTGTTTGGCTCCGGTTAAGTGTCAGTATTTTCTCCCCCCTCTTATCGTCCAATTTGAGTTGTTTGGTGTTTGATATCTAGAAAAGAAAGCGTGTCAATTAGTAGGAACATAAGGTAGCGATTAGGAAATAAGAAGAGGTTCATGTTTAGGAAGTACAACTTGCGATCGAATGTTGATAAGATGACCACGAGAACTCCCCCGTCGGAAGGTCAACAAGGTCGAGATGAGGGAGGAGTAGCAGGTGGTGCTACAGCAGACGTTTGGGAGGTTTCTCCTCCGCCTCGTGGAATTCCGAGCGAGATCGCATCCTCGGTGAATGTGGCGGTGTCCCAGGCGTATGAGACGCACAGAGCGGCGCTGTCGGAAAATGTCAGCCGGACATTGCAGGAGGAGATCCGTCGCGGATTCATGGAGATGATGGCCATGATCAACGAGGTGGTCCAGCCGTTGAAGGAGACAGCGACCGCGGTCCAAGCGATGCAGCAGCAGGCAATGCGAGCGGACGTAGGCTATGGCCAGGAGTCGGGAGCGTACCCCAGGGCGAAGCCAGAGGATGAGGAACTCGTCAGACCCCCACCAAGACCTCCGAGAGCACACGGCAGCTCCGCAGGGATGAATGGCGGCGAGGGATCGTTGCCGGCGTTTCCTGATTCACAGCAGCAGCAATTCCAGGCGGCGTACGGCCCACGTCGAGATAGCGCCGAACGTTTCCGGGGCCCTGAAAGAAGAGAAGAGGGAGTTAGAGGGATCCGAGTCGAGAAATGGGAGATATTCTTTGACGGCGACCAAAACAAACTTGCCGTGGAAGATTTTGTCTTCCGGGTAGAGTACCTCCAAAGACAGACTCGGTGTTCCTGGGACCAGGTGTTGGGTAGCTTCTACCATCTGATGCGAGGCCAGGCCGCCGAGTGGTACTGGCATTATGTACGAGAGAATCCTCCGCAGACGTGGGAAGACCTGAAGGAGAGCTTGGTGGCCAGATTCCGTGGAATTGGTGGCGAGTTCGAACGGCGGCGAGCGCTCCAGGATCGGCGGCAGCAGCAGGGCGAATCTGTGGAGGAGTACTTCCGGGCGATGCGTCGGCTGGGAAATCGACTGCTGGCCCCCATAGCGGAAACGGAAATGGTCAGAATCGTAAAAAAAGGACTTACCGCCGAGATCGCCAGGTTCGTCTATGCCCTGAGGGTATATAGCGTGGAGCAGTTGCGCGAGGAATGCCTGGAGGTGGAGGATGCCTTCATGAAGCGGGACGTCCGACAACCATACCGGGGACCGAACAAGTTCCAGCCGGGCGGACGCCAGGTGGAAGAGGTGACCTGCGACCCGCCGGAAGATGAAATCGGGCCGGAAGATCCTGTCGTTGAGGAGGGTTCCCGGCCGAGGCTGAGTTGCTGGAATTGTGGCCAGGCTGACCACGGGTTCCGTGATTGTCCGTCGCAGGAGCGGAAGATTTTCTGCTACCGCTGCGGGAAGCCGGAAGTGGTGACGCCGAATTGCCCGGTGTGTACGGGAAACGGGAGGACGAGCGCCGGGAAAGTGGGAGACCCGCGCTCGAGATACAGGCCCAACCGCAACTGAATAGTAATCTCGAGACGCCGAAGCAGACCTCTAAAATAGTAGTTAATCATAAGATAGACATTAATAGCAATAGTCTAAGATATTTACCGGCAGAGGAACGGATGGAAAGGTACCTCGAGGTCAGGAACCGGATTTTTGACAATAACCAGCTGAACGGGATGCGAAGCGTCAGTCGGAGACTGTTGAAGGCCAGAGCCCGCTTCAGGCAGAGGCACCAGACCCGACGAGCCGTGGTGGAAGCCGTTCGCCGAGGTATGGGAGAGGATCCCAGAGTATTTGCGGAGGTCCTCATCCAGGGCAAGCGAGTTTCCGGGTTGCTGGATACAGGCGCTTCCATCAACGTCCTCGGGAAAGGCAGCCGAGAGTTGCTGGAGGAGATCGGCGTGGGGATGGAGAAGTACCTGTCCATCGTGAAAACCGCTGCGGGAGAAGACAGGTCAATCATAGGGCGAGTACAAGTGCCCGTGCAATATAAGGGTGTGGAGAAAATACTCACCTTTTATGTGTGCCCGTATCTGGAACAGGCAATGTACCTAGGGATCGATTTCTGGAGGCGATTCGCGTTGGCACCGGCCATCCTCGGAGAGATGCCATCACCGAAACCGAAGGCGAGCGTTGCGGAATTATGGGACGCAACGAATCCGTGGCTCGATGGCGAGGCCGACAAGAAGTCCGTGCTTGAAGAATGGGACCTGGAAGAGGAGGAAAAGAAGCAGTTAGAAACGGTGAAAAAGGAGTTCCTTGCGTTTGAAGACGTCGGACTAGGGAAGACAGCGGTGGAGAAGCACCGTATCCAGCTTGTGGAAGGAGCAGAACCTTTCAAGGATCGACATTATCCTCAGTCGCCAGCGATGCAGGAGATCGTATGGACGGAAGTCGACAAGATGTTGGAACTTGGCGTTATCGAAGTCAGTGAGAGTCCGTGGAGTAACCGCACGACAGTGGTGCGAAGGCCGGACAAAAACAGATTCTGTCTGGACGCGAGGAAGCTCAATAACCTCACCGTGAAGGACGCGTATCCGTTGCCGTGCATAGAGGGAATCCTGTCCAGAATCGAACAGACGCACTATATTTCAAGTGTCGACTTGAAATTCGCATTCTGGCAGGTGGAACTGCATCCCGAGAGTCGTCCATACACGGCGTTCACGGTCGCTGGAAGGCCCTTGTACCAGTTCGCGATGATGCCGTTCGGGCTATGCAACGCGGCGCAGAGGCTCTGCCGTCTGATGGACAAGGTCATTCCCGCTCAACTAAGGTCCAACGTTTTTGTTTACCTTGATGACCTGCTGATCATCGCTCCAGACTTCGCGACGCACTTAAAATATCTTCGGTTGGTTGCGGATTGCCTGAAAAAAGCAAATTTGACGATAGGGTTAAAGAAGTCCAAATTTTGCTACAGGGCATTGAAGTACCTGGGGTTCATCATCGGCGGAGGAGCATTACGAATGGATCCGGAAAGAATCGTCGCAATCCAGAAGATTCCCGAGCCGAAGTCGGTGAAGGAGCTGCGTAGTTTCCTTGGAACTGCGGGGTGGTATCGCCGATTCATCAAGGATTTTGCAGCCATGGCGACGCCACTCACGAACGCCCTGAAAAAAGGAAAGAACACGCGATTAGTATTGGACGAAGAGGCCAAGAGCGCGATACAAGCGTTGAAGACGGCTCTTACATCTGCTCCGGTTCTGGTCCATGCCGACTTCAAACGTCCGTTTTTCGTCCAGTGCGATGCGTCGCACCATGGTGTGGGGGCTGTCCTGTTCCAGTACGACGAGGACAAACACGAGCGTCCGATAGCGTTCTTCTCTGCAAAATTGAATAAACACCAGTTAAATTATTCGGTTACAGAGAAGGAGTGCTTGGCAGCAGTACTTGCCATCGAAAAGTTCCGGCCGTATGTGGAGCTCATGCCGTTCACGGTGATCACCGACCATGCCAGCCTGAAGTGGTTGATGACCATGAAAGACCTCAGTGGACGCTTGGCGCGTTGGTCTCTCAGGTTGCAGAACTTCGACTTCCAAATTTCGCACCGGAAGGGTGCAGAGAACGTGGTAGCCGATACGCTGTCCAGATACGTAGAAGAACTAGAGCTGGATGCTGACGACGCTCTCGGATTCACGACGACGGAGTTCGAATCTGAAGGATACAAGGAAATACGAGATGAGATACTGGCAAATCAGGTGCGCCTACCGGATGTTCGCGTGGAAGGGAATCTCATTTTTAAACGCCTGGGGTTCAGCAGATTGGAGGACGAAGTCGAAGGAGGGCCATGGAAACTGTGGATTCCTGTCTCACTGACGGCCGGGATGATCGCGACGGCCCATGAGGAACCGACGTCAGGACACGGAGGGGTGAAGAAGACGCTGCAGCGCCTCCAACGGCAATATTACTGGCCGGGGATGACGACACAAGTCCGAGACTTCGTGGGTCGTTGTATTCAGTGCAAGGAGGCGAAGGCCCCGAATTACCGCACACAAGTCGGGATAGGGCAGGAAGTGGTGACGGAAAGGCCATTCCAAAAGCTATATATAGACTTTTTAGACAAATATCCGCGGTCTAAGCAAGGGAAAGCCTGGATATTTGTGGTGGTGGACCATTTCTCCAAGTTCACGTTCCTCAAATCTATGAGGGAAGCCACCGCCACGAACGTCGTCGAGTTTCTGGTGCACGAAATATTCTTCAAGTTCGGCGTACCAGAGGTGATCCATTCGGACAATGGCAAACAGTTTGTCTCAAAGGCGTTTCAGGATATGATGGAGGCATATGGAATACAGCACACGAGAACGGCAGTATATTCTCCGCAAAGCAACGCGGCAGAAAGGGTCAACCGGACAGTTCTGGCCGCGATCCGGACGTATCTGGAGCGAGATCACAGAGAATGGGATGCATTTCTGCCGGAGATCGAAGTCGCGATCCGAAACTCGATCCATGAGGCGACGGGCGTGACCCCTTTCTTTGCGGTGTTCGGGCAGCAAATGTACCTCCACGGCAGCTGCTATAAGTTGGCCAGAAAACTGCAGTCGATGACAGATCATGAGGTAGCCACTCTAAACTCCCAGGACAAGCGAAGCATCATCCGCGAACGCATTAAGGAGCACCTGCATCAGGCGTACGAAAGGAGCAGCCGGCAGTACAACAAGCGCGCCCGTGAGTTCCACGTAAAACCAGGCCAAGAAGTATACCGGCGAAACTTTACACTGAGCGATTTCGGAAAGAACTACAACGCCAAGTTCGTACGGAAATTCGCGAGATGCCGAGTCGTCCGGCCCGTTGGAAACAACATGTTCGAGATAGAGGACCTGGCGGGGAAGCCTATTGGCATCTATCATGCAAAAGATCTGCGATTGTAGAGGGAGGGCACGACGCGCGCACAGGAGACACAGGCAGGATAATTACCGTGGGTGTGGCCTACGTTGGGTAATCCATATGTCGGGGCAAGCACCAGCCGCCAGTAGAACGCCGCGGAGCTGTTCGGCGAGTTTGTTGTGATAGAGTTGGCCAATTTTTGTTTTGTTTACGTTTAGTAGAATGCTCGCGAATATTCCCTTCTCTTTCGATTTGCTAATTTTCGCGTGGTGTTGCATTCTGACGGTGATCGATAGCCGTGGGCGAAACAAATATCGCCTGGAATGCGCACCGAAACGAGTTGGCAGAGCCGAAGGGGAATTATGCCCGTTGGGCGGAGTTGGCAGGTCCATGAATAGGGGAAAGTGGAACCCAAGAGCCCCATACCTTCCACATCCTATAAAAGGGGAATGTGGATGGTATTTGCCGATCGCGAGAGGAGAGCCCGGAGGGAGTGCATCCACGCACACCAAGGCCAAAAAAACTAAATCTCTGGCCTTGAACGCGGATCTCGACCTCGTTTGAGAGAGGCTCGAAAATGGGAATCGGTGGGAACCGAGCCCATAAATAGGGCAACGGGGCAGCCACGAGACTCAATCCGCACTAGACCCACGTGACCCGCGGGCGTAAAACCGGAATTCGTTAGTGATTTAAATAGAAAAAAAAAAAAAACAGACGATCAGGAGGCAGACCCGGACCAGGAAAACCGAATATTGGACAGATCCAGGAGGCAGGACATCCAGAAATCTACAGGTAAATAAAAGAAAAGAGAGTCCGTTCCAAAAGGAACTAAAACTATTTAATCCATGACGGGTTTCAGGGGTCTCTATTGTCCTTGTCGAGGGTTGTCCGGGGAGGAAATCCCGGCCAAATCTTCCGCCGACGCGGATAACAAAACCGGCAAATCCCAACCTCCAATCCCCACCAGGAATTACATAAATTGCACCGACCTAGATCAAGGAAATAAAGAAAACATAAATCACGTGATATTTTTGCCGTCCTCATTTCTTTAAATTGATTACTATATCGGCAGTTATAATATTTATTTAAACTATTTATTTATTCGCAATAATTTATTTATTTATTTATTTCACATATATATATATATATGTTATTTATTTACTTGTGCCAGTGCTAATTTATTTAAATATTAATCTATTCGTCGGTGCGTAGGTGTTCTTATTTATTTACTTATATATATATATATTTATTTAAACACATTTATTTATTTATTTATATATATTTATTCGCACATATTTATTTATTTATTTGAACATATTTATTTATTTATATGGCATTATAAAAGCCGGTAAACGCACGAAAACAAAACAAAAAGACAATCGAAAATTAAAAGCACATAATTAAAATTATAAAAAAAAGGGCACGTAAATGAAAGAAAAATGAAATAAGAATTAAATAACAAATCAATTAACGTTCCTCATTAACAATCACGAAGCCAAATTAATCACTAACTAATTTAAAATTTAACAAACATGTAAAAATAACGGGTCCAGGCAATTAATCCTTTAAAATATACAAAATATCCTAATTTTAAGTTAATTATAAATATGTATGTGTTTGGTTGAGGTCACCAGGCCGATCTGTGTGGGGGTATAAATTTATATTCCAACAATCACCCGTCTCAGCCCCTGACCCTTAGTGGAGCTCCAGTTAGGGAAAAGCTGAAAGGAAATGTGGGTTAATTAAAAGTTCTTTAATTACAATATTATACCCTTACCGAATTCTCGTGTCCTCGTTGTCCTTGTCCTCTTTCGTCTTCATCGTCGTTGACACTTTTGGATGATATGAATCCACTATAATTTTGCTTTGGCCCGTAAATTTCTAAAAATACAAAAAAAGAAAGAAACCATAAATGATTGTAAAATTAGGTTGATAAATTAGTATGTGTAATAAGTAAATGTTGTTATGAATATGAGTTGCTAAGCGTTTGATGTTGGGGGGGGGAAGATGACAGGATGAGCCGTGACCAGGAGTAAGCCAAGATAGCCACACGCCCAGGGGCATCCAACAAGATGATGTCCAGTTGGGTGTCAGGAAGGGAGGGTGCGTCCAAGGATATTTCCAGCCATGTCCCGAACCTGCGTCCAGGAGAGATGAAAGGTGAATGTCAATTATAAATTCGAGTAATGTTTCTGTTAGCGTTTTATTTACCTTTTTTTTTTTTATTTGTTTGTTTATTTTGGATTCCCAATCAGCTGGGACTTATGGTGCGACCTGTGGGCAGACGGGGAAAAATCCCTCCCTGAGTCGACTGGCTAGCCGGCCTTGCCCCTTCGATAAGCGGGTCGTAACAACTTGAAGGCGTTTATGGACTGGCTGGCCAACCTCGCGGCACCAGCCGATCGCGAGGGAAATTGGCCACTACTTTAGAGGCGACGAGGAACGGACTCATTGGAAGTCTGGAGTCCGAGAGGGTCGACTTGGTCTTTGATGCCGAGTGGTTGCGGGTTTGGATCTTTGCACTCACTTCCACTGATTTTTATGTAAGCCAATTTAAGTTCATCCAAAAACTGTGTTTGTACCAAAAAGACTAATTATGTCTGTTGGGTCAGTAAGCTTTTTTACTAACCATTACCTTTGGCGGTGCCCAAGTAAATAAAACCGTACAAATTTCGCTTAAATAATGCACTTATTTATTAACTGGCACCAAGGCCTTAAATTTACAGAGTTATTGTTTACGTAGGTTTGAATTAGGAATTAGGCAGGCAGACCGATTTGTCTGTGCCTTAAACGTCGCGAAGAGTATATAGCCGAAGAGTATATAGGCAGGCGATCAGCGACCGTGCCTTCTATGAGCGTGTACAAATTCGAACTGTATGAAGCTTGCCGTGGACTAATGCCAGGAAGCGATAAGCGAAAGAGTGCAAAAGTAGTTAGAAATGACAATTAAAACAGTGTTGCTGCGCAGGACAAATAGCAAAACAAAGGCAAACATCGAGAATTTGAATTAAGTTAGGATTTGAATTTAGTGATTGGATTTAGGCTGTGGCATGACCAAACATCCTCCCCCCGTTGAAAGACCAGGGCTTTCAACCAGATCCAGCTTCGGCAGCACGCACAGCTTGGGTACAGACCTTCGAGTGATTCGAGCCACACGAGCAACTCCATCGGATCCAGGCACCAATTCCATGACGCTGGCTAACGGCCATTGAGGCGGAGGCAACGTGGAGACGACCTCGTCGATTTGTAGCGCAGGTTTGGGAGTGTGCCACCTTGGTCGTTGCTGCCAACGTTGAAGACGCATGTAAGCGAGCAGCGCTCGCGGACCAGAATGCTATTCCGATGCAAGTCCAGTGTAGGATGCTGCGCATTGCGATTCTCGAGACGAAACGCTGGGCTGGTGAACCAAAGGGCAGGTTCCAGAATCTCACTCGGGGAAGTTTCTCTTGTCAAGATGTCGGCTGGATTGCAGTCAGCCGGAACGTAGCGCCAATTCATGCCACTGGATAGCTCTTGAAGTATAGACATTGGATTAGCAACATATACTTGAAATCGTAAAGGTTCATAGCTTATCGATGATAAAGTTTCAGCAAAATCGAAGAGCTTCGTGTTGCGTACGTCTCGCATCAGTTGGACCAGTAACAAGGTAGCGTAGAACTCCAATTTGAAAACCATGAGAGTCTTCAAAGGCGCCACACGAGACTTTGAATAAAGTAGATGCGCCTGTCGTTTGCCATCAGCTGTTGGATCCAACGCAGGTCGAAGAAACGTCTTTTGCTGGGTACGACCCATGCCAGATAGCAACTTCCGCCATGACGTGTTGAGTCCCTGGGGAACGCACTCATCGTAAACCTGAGCAGTTGTGGACAACACCATCCTTTTGCTTGGCTTTGGAGAGACCTGTATGGAAGAAAAAGAAGAACGAAAAACATCCGCTGCAGGATCCCAGGCTAGACCGAGCGTCTTGTCGCTGCCATCGTCAATCCTCAGGAATGTTCCCCTTTCCGAGTCAGGAGTTTGATCACGAACGTCGTTGATTTCGAGGACCTCTTGTGCTGATTGCCCTCCTGTGATCAGATCATCAACGTCATCCATGCGAGCAGCAATCAATTTTCGATGCACAGCTTGATCCTGTAATCCAGTTTCCTTGATAGAAGAAGATCCACCTCCAGTTACGCTCCAACCAAGCTTCGTTTTTTGCAATAGGGGTAACCCAGCAGCCAACTTAATCTGCCCTACGGATAATAGTTCAAAAAAACATGCTTGCCCAAATGAGAAGATCAATATTCTGAGATTTGTAAAATTCCGGGTCGGCCAACTGAATATTAGAAGGAATTTTCCAGCAATCGGGCTTAACGGTCGAACTGGGTTGATTTTCGGTTATCGCTGGAGCAACAAGCGCAGTTAGGCATGTGGAGTAATTGGAGGTATGCGACTTGAACTTGAGGCAAACGGACGCTCCTTCAGAGTCAAATCGAGCATCTCCAATACCAGCAACTGTTACCGTAGACTTTGCTTTTGGCAATTCCAACTGGTGAGCGAGTCGGGAGGTCACAACGTGGACTTGTGATCCCGAGTCTAGCAGCGTGCGGCATGGGATCCAGGCACCTGATCGACGTTGTATGCTTATGACTGCAGTTGGAAGAAAAACACTATCAGAATCCAAATTCTGAGCCAGCAAAGAGGTAGAGGGGCTAGAGGCGATTGCGTTTGGCGTACTTAGTTCCGCCACGGGAGCTCGCTGAACATCGGTTGAAGGCTGAGAGCCAGGGTGCAAAAGGCTTTGATGCTTAGACCCGCAAACTCGACAGCAGCCTGACCGACAATTGCGCATTTGATGTCCCTTCTTCAAGCAATTGAAACACAGTGCCAAGTCCCTTGCCTTTAGAATACGCTCTTGTGTCGACAGATTGGCGAATTGACCACAGCTATAAATGGAATGACTGTTGTTACACACAACGCATGCATGTCCCGAAGTGCTGGTGGCAATTAAGATGCTTCTGCTGCGAGTGTTCCCTGATGAACCATTCGAATACAAAGCTGCAGTGTGCTCTATGTTCTCGAGTTTTCGACAACGCTTTGACAAGAAAGTAGTGAAATGATCAATCGAAGGAATTTCATCGATCGCCGCAGACTCCTCCCAATTGGCCTGAGTTTTGCTATCCAACCTTTGCAGTAGAACATGGATAAGAACGCAGTTTGCAATTTGCTCAACCGAACCCATAGACTGGAGAGCACGTAGATTTGCGTTAATTTTGTCGGACATTTCTCTCAGCTTCGTGGCACACTGCATGTCGACCTTAGGGAGGCTCAAAATTTCATTTATGTGGGACTGGAAAATAAGTCGCTTGTTATTGAAACGGTTGTTCAATAAATCCCAGGCTGCAGCATAATTATTTTCGCATATCTCCAATGAGCGCACTGTATCCAAGGCGGAACCCTTTAGGCAAGACTTGAGATGCTGGAGCTTCTCAATGTTAGAAAGCTCAACGTCACTGTCGATAATGGCCATGAACGTTGACTGAAAGTCGGCAAATTCGGAATAGCCACCAGAAAATTCAGGCAGTCTCAATTCGGGCAAATGAGATCTCCTAGCCGCTGACATGGAATGGAAATCCATGGAGGGCTCTGGCCTAAGTGTGGAGCTACGAATTGCCGCACCTTTTCGCTTACCCAACTCAATGTTCAACATAACCTTTGTTGATATGGTTAGCTCCTCAAAATCGTCGCGAACCACGCTGCCGATTTCGCTAAAATCCAGCTCCTCAAGCTTGTCATGGACCTGGATAAATATCGCCTTGTTCTCGTCCAGACGTTGAACATAAAGTTGCAATTCCTCGTCGCTCATTTCCTGGAGCTTGTCGGCAGACAGAGTCTTCGCAAAGGCTTTAGCTTTAGAAAGCATTGAGCCAGCCTTCAATTTATATAACGTTGCTCCCGCAACTGGAGCAGAAAGCGTTGTGTCCCTTGACATGTTGATTTGTTTGGTCTTTATAGTTTTGAGAATTTGTCACTTGCACACCGATCAAGTCCCACTGTGCACTGATTAGCGCCAAAATTGTGCGTCTATTTGAATATATATACCTATAGATATATATATATATATATATATAGGCACTGAACCCGCGAAACGAAAAAGTTTGTCGCCGCTGTAAAACGTTTTAAGCGGGAAGCTGGGGCACAAAGAGGAAACGAAAATGCGGGGGCGGGTGTGTGCGAGGGTCTCACGGAGTTACAGCTTGCGCTTATGTGCATAGAGCTAACGAAAGTATGTATATGCGCGATCACCAACTTTAACCGAACGAAAATAATAAAATTATTTGTTTGGTTGCACTTTAGTTTTGATTGTTCGAAGTTCTATTGTTTCACTATCACGTCGGGGTCACCAAAATGTTGGGTCAGTAAGCTTTTTTACTAACCATTACCTTTGGCGGTGCCCAAGTAAATAAAACCGTACAAATTTCGCTTAAATAATGCACTTATTTATTAACTGGCACCAAGGCCTTAAATTTACAGAGTTATTGTTTACGTAGGTTTGAATTAGGAATTAGGCAGGCAGACCTATTTGTCTGTGCCTTAAACGTCGCGAAGAGTATATAGCCGAAGAGTATATAGGCAGGCGATCAGCGACCGTGCCTTCTATGAGCGTGTACAAATTCGAACTGTATGAAGCTTGCCGTGGACTAATGCCAGGAAGCGATAAGCGAAAGAGTGCAAAAGTAGTTAGAAATGACAAATAAAACAGTGTTGCCGCGCAGGACAAATAGCAAAACAAAGGCAAACATCGAGAATTTGAATTAAGTTAGGATTTGAATTTAGTGATTGGATTTAGGCTGTGGCATGACCAAACAATGTCCTTCCAAGAAAATATGGGCCTCCCCCGAAATACAATTTATAATTCCTTAAGAAAATCATTTGTGTCTTCTCCAAAATATATTTATTTTCCAGAAAAGGTTATGTTTTCTTCAAAAACGTATTCCTTAAAAAAAGGTTATATTTTCTTCGAAGAAAATAGTCCCGGGGCCCTTTATCGTGGGACCCCTGTTTCACTAAACAAAAATAAACATTTTATATTCCTAAATATATTACAAAAAAAACTCTAACTCACTTTTTCACAAAATTTTCATAAAATCACTACTAGTTTTTATTGCTCGTCTACCAAGTCTGTCTTTTCGGGTACTACTAAACGGTTTCGTAGATCTGCTCTTGTCCGCAATGTTTCCCGCCGTCCCCAGCCTCTCTCTAAAATAGGTCAATGGACATCCTCAAGGCCATATAAGAGAATCCCTAAGCCGGGATTAAATGTTTACATTTTACACGCTAGATCATTTTCTCAAGGCCCAAAAGGGGGCGCTGCCCTAACCATCGCTACCTGAACTATCGAAGCGTCCTCCTGGAATCGACTTCAACTACAACATCAACCAAGGTTGAACGAAGAACTGCTTGGTAGCTTTGGAGTCCTTGCAGGAATTGGCGTACACTGGTGTTCTGTGCAGCTCGTACGACGCGGGGCCCAAGCTTGACGGGAAGTATATTGATTCAGTTATTGTTTGCTCGTATACTTTGTGTACCCGTTTCAGCTTATATCCGGATGTCCTTGGCGTGGTACACCCCCAAACTGCGACTGCAGATCCTCCAGCAAATTGGCTTTATTGCGGCAATAGTGTACGGGCTCGCTTGTAAAAGCGTTGACGGCTTACTTCATACGCGCCTTCCAGCTGTTTCTGCACCTTAGCTTGGATTATCTGCAACTTGTCCTTGGTCTGCATCCCGGCCAACTCGTGGTCACACAAAGACCTAAGCCTCCTGGCTAGTTTATAACAACTGTCGTCGCAGAAGATCCAGTGTCTTATTCATTTCTCCGTGGCCCGCTTTGAGGTCTGAATGGGCACGCTCTACCAGGCTGTGCGTCAAACTTTGTGGAATCCATGGATTTTTGTGCGCTTGAAAATTAGTCCATCCGCGACCTTCAAGTCAGGTCAGTATGTTTTGATCGTCTCCACTTCCCGAACTAACTCCGCATACTCCTCCGCAGCGAATTCAGTTGTCTCAAAACCCAAGAACTCAGTAGGATCTATCCCGACTTCTTCAATGCATCGAGACAACGTCTCGGCAACCACGTTTTATTTGCGTATGGCTATGGATAGCTGCTAGGCACTATATATATATATAGTGTTTGTTTATTGATCAGTGTTTGTTCATTTTGGCCGAGAAAAAAGCGATTGGTTGTTCTGCCCCGTCCTGGTTCCCCTGAAACAGCACAGCGCCGACTTCCGACGTGGGAGGCATCGCATTGGATAAAAAAATGTTTCTTAAAATCCGCATGAACCAGGACTGGCGCTTTCGTCAGGGCCAACTTCAGGTCATCATAGGCCTGCTTTGCGCTGGGACTCAAGGCAAACTTTGCGTTGCCTGTTTTCTTTAATGACTCGCTAAGAGGGGCCGCTAGCGTAGCGAAGTTGTTGACGATAAAACCCTGCCGTGCCAAGGAAGGCTCGCACTTCCTTCATTGACGCTGGATAAAGTATCCTTTGGATGGCGGAAACTCGTCCAGGATCCATGCGCAGCGTTCCACCTCCGACTACGAACCCCAGATAAGTCAAAAATCTAAAACAGAATTTTGACTTTTACAAACCAATTGTCAATCCCGCCCGTCAAATGCGTCTGGAAATCTGGAGCCAGGATCAGCAGATCATCGAGATACACAAAGTCATTGGTTCTCAGCTCCGCTGGAATCACCCTGTCCATCAGCCGCACCAAACGTTGCGCTGCGTTACACAGGCCGAAAGGCATCATCCGAAAATGGTACAACGGCCTGCCTGGGACTGTAAACGCAGTGTACTCTTTGCGGATGTCATCGAGTTCGATCTGCCAGAACGCAAACAAATCCAGACAAAACCGATCCTTCCCGGGCTTTGACACCACGGTCGTCCGATTGCTCCAGGGACTCTTACTTTCGTCGTTGACTCCCAGTTCGAGCATCTTGTCGATCTCGTCCCCGACCACCTTCTGCTTCGCTAGAGACATAGGATAGGGCCGGTCCTTGAACTCTCGGGCTTCTTTAACTAATTCGATGGAGTGTTGCTCCAGGCTGTAGTGCCGAGACCATCTCGCTGGAAGGTAAGGAACTCCCCTTTGACCTTCTCGTGTTCGGCGTAATGTTCCATGTAATCCGTGATCAGCGGCACCGCAGTTCCAGCAACCCGTCCGGAATGGATTCCTGCTACGTCCACGCAACTCATCCACGGCAAAGGAATGCGCATTCTCCTGAGGCTCCGGTAAGAAAGTTTCGGCCACTGGTCTATCCCCTGCCGGATGACGCATTTGTTGTTGGTACGAAGTGCGTCCTCGGCGACCAAAACTCCGTTCCACCTCAATGCATTCCTGCCGCAACTCGTCCATGGTAAATAGTTCCATGATGGCGCGCAACGCCATCTCTCAAGCCTTTATTAATGATTTTCACCAACTGCCGTTCAGGCATTGGTTTTTTTAGACACGAGGCGAGCTGCTGATACAGTGGATGAAGTCCTCCACGGTCTCTCCCAGCTGCTGTTCCCGCTGCAGGAGCTCATGCATCCGATAGTGCTCGGTCTGATGTCCCCTAAAACGATCAATAAGGGTTCGGCGCAGCTGCATCCAACTATCGACTCTGGACTGCCGCACATGGACCCGGTACCACTCCTTGGCTCGGTCGGTGAGGAATACATGGAAGAGCCTCAAAACCTCCTGCCATGGACACTGGTGCTGCCGCTGTAGGAATTGGATACGGAAAACGAAATCCTCAACGGGATTCCGCTCGTCGCCCCCGCCGAACGACACGTTCCAGTGGTCCACCTATGGATAGCGACCGCTGCACCCAGTGCCCACGTGGGCATACGTCCGTCGGTCGTCCAGAAACTCATCCGCCCTGTGGTCCTCAACAAGACAGGCTCGGCCATTTCCCTCCTGCCGCCTGTGCTGCTCGGCCTCCGGAGTATAATCTGGACTGCTGCTGGTCCAATCTGACGATATGCCCACCCTTCGCTAGGGCTTGGAGGGCCAATGGAGGTGGCTGACATGGATCAACATCCCGGATCCACTCCCGAAATCGCTCCACTGGCGTCCTCGGCAGTCCTCCAACTATGGAAGGTCGCTCCACTCCGGCAGCACCTTCTACGTCCGTTGAGCAAAGAGCATCTTCATCTCCTCCAGGAGGCCTCAACTGGTGGTCGTGCCTACTACCAAAATCCCTAGCCCTGGTCATGTTTACTAAAGTAAATATTTCTTATCCTAATACCACACAAAAATAAAATATATATATAACAAGAAATATCGCCTCCACAAAATTTAATATTAAAATTATCAATACATAAATAGTAAAATAAATAATGAAATGATTATTATCAATTATCAATACATAAATAGTAAAATAAATAATCATTTCATTATTTATAAATAATCATTTCATTATTTATTTTACTATTTATGTATTGATAATTGATAATTGAGGAAAAAAAAAAAAAAAAATAAAATAAATAAATAAAATAAAAAAAATAAATAATGAAATAAATAAACTATGTACGGAATAAATAAATAGTGCAACAACGAAAAAAATCAATCATGGAACAAATAATCCGTACTGATATTATAAATGCGAAAGTAACTCTGTCTGTCTGTTACTCTTTCACGCCTAAACGGCTGAACAGATTTAGCTCAGAGCCAGGAATAGGACATAGGATACTTTTTATTCCGTTCGACATACCAAAAATCGCATATAAACTGAGTTATTACCTTATCACACTAACAAGCACACGCTACCACAGCATTTTAACTCAATTTTTGTGATTTTGGTAAATTGATGTGAAGTGAAGTTTTTTGGTGATTTTGGTGAATTGAAGGGAAGTGAAGTTTTTTGTGATTTTGGTGAATTATCATTTAGGGGCGCTTTTTTTTTTTTCTTTTTTATTGAGCCTCTATCACTCTTATCACTTCTCT